CTTTAAGTCTTTTGCTCATTTTAAAAAATAGTTTGTTTTTTCTTATTGATTTACAAAAGTTCTTACGTATTTTCTTATTTATTTATAAAAGTTCTTATGTATTGAGTCTTTTGTCAGGTCTGTCAACACACATGCACCACACACACACACACACACAGACACACAATATCACACATTCTTTTCTCACTCAATGTCTTGCCTTTTCATTCTCTTAATGGTACCTAAGAGAAGTTCGTAATTTTTAATATAGTCTACTTTTTCAATAGATTTCTTAGTTATTAGTGTTTTATGTCCTATTTGAAGAAATATTTGCCTAACCTAAGAGCATAAAGATATTCTCCTATTTTATCTTGTGGAAATTTCATTGTTTTCTGACTTCACATTCAGATCTTCAAATCATTTACAATTGAGGTTTATAGATGGCATGAGGTATGTTAAGGTTGTAAGTTTTTAACTGAGATTTGTTAAGATTAAAAAAAATTTAATGAAGAGAAATAAGCTCTGATTATAATTGAACAAAAGTACAAAGAGATAACTTACTTTTTTAGCTTTTTTAAAATTAATATACTTAATTTTTTAAGAACAGTTTTAGGTTTACAAAAAGAATTGATCAGAAAGCACAGAGTTACTAAATACCTTCTCCTCCTAATAGTTTTTCCTGTTATTTCAATTTTGTATTATCATGGAATATTTGTTACCACAAATAAACTAATATTTATACATTATTAACTAAAGTTCATAATTGACATTAGGGTTCACTCTTTGCATTCTACATTTCTAGAATTTTGGTAAAAGTATAATGACAGTGGACCAGCAGGTGACGTCATGGTTAAAAGTGCTGGACTACCACGTGTCCAAACATGGTTGGAGTCCTGGACCTGGTGGCTTGCTTTCTCACTTTTCCTCTCTCAATCTATCACTCTGTCCTTCTTTGATCAAAGGATAATATTAAATAAAATAATTTCATAAAAATGTATAATGACAAAATCCTAGTTTTAAAATTCTTTCATTGGTTGGAGGGGCAGCAGGTGATGTGTTGGTTAAGGTGCTGGACCCCTACATGGCTGACCATGATTCAAGTTCCAGACCTGGTCACTTGAAAATTATGTCAGGTGTGTATGCGTGCATGCCCAAAATCCTGAGAGGAAAATGGAGGAGAAGGGATGGGGAGGTATGGTTAGTCCCCCTAGGCGGGTGATATACTTTCTCTCTCTCCATCTCTCTCTCTCTGTCTCTCACTGGCAAGCACACGTGCCCTGTGGTAAAAACTTATAAAACAAATCCTTTCATGGGTCCAGAAAATGGCTACCCGGTGGTTAAGATGCTGGATTCCTACATGGGTGACCACAGTTTGAGCCCTAGATCTGGCAGCTTGAAAATCATGCTAGGCACATGTGCATGTGTACTCAAAATCTTGAGAGGAGAATGAAAGAGAAGAGATTGTGGTGTGGCCATTTCCCCCTCACTTTCCATCTGTCTTTCTCTGGCAAGCGTATATGCCCTGTGGGGAGGAAAAAAAAATACTTAAAATACTTTTAAAAAACCTTTCATACCTTTTCAATAGGAAATAGGAGGATATGTGACCAATTTTCAATAGATGTTTATTACTATCACATCAAAAATAACAGTACTATAGACAGAGGTGATGTTAAATATCAAATCCTTAAATGAGGAAGTTTTGTTAAAATATTTGGTGAGGACAATAAAATGTGTGACAAAACAGGTGGTTATTTTAGGTCACAGATTGAAATCTCTGATACTAAGGAATCTGGCCTTGTCACAGAGGTCAGGCAGTTGGCTGTTGAGTGCATGACAAAACAGTACTGGCATTGCTCTCACGGTGCCTGCCAAACAGCCAGTAGAATAAAAGTCACACGGAATCTGTGGGACATTACTTGCTATTTTACTGCTAACTACATAAAGAAACCCCCACAACATTAATTTGCCAAAGTAACATGGACATTATGAGGCCATATCAAAACATCAGTCCATCTGTGCAAATGTTTTTTCTTCTTAACAGAGACTATCTATGAAAGCTACTAGTCAAACCCCTTTTAACCCAAATTCATAAAATCCCATAATTATTTTAGATCAGCAGCCAGATTCCCTATGAACCGAACTATTCTTAGTGCCTTAACTGACACAGCAATTCATTATTTTGATAGTTGGCTGAGAATTCCTTAGTATATTTTTGTTGTGGTTTTGCTATCTAAATTGCATCATATATTTAAATATGTCTGTAAGAATATCTACATTCTGTTCCCAGCCTATTTGTCTGATCAGGTCTTTCATGCCTCACTTATACCAGTATCACCAGAGTGTAAGTGAGGCATACAGAGTTATTTTTTTTCTTTCTTTGAAGAAATTTTCTAAGTAACTTCTAGAAAGTTAACAGTAGTTCTCTTGAGCAGTGGATAACAGTAAAAGGGGCTAAAAGGGGACATACTGGCCTACAGTAAAAGTACTCCGAAGAGTCACTGTGATCTGTGATACTCAGTGAAATCTGTGCCTGACTATACTGTACTACCAACCCATATGATAGCCCGATAGGCTTTTTGTCATTCAGTTACTATTACTCGAATTTTCATTCTCTGCCATTGCTTTTGCTGTGCTTGTGACCTGTTAAAATTATATGCGGTTGGGACCAGCAAGGAGCATGGTGGGTAAAATGTTAAACTCTCACATAGCTGACCACAGTTTGAGTCCCAGACATGACAGTTTGCTTTCTCAATCTCTCTTACACAACCCACACACTGCTCCCTGCCGTGAGTACACGTGCCCTATCTCAAATAATAATAATAATACACAAAATAAAAGAAATAATTCTTTAAAAAACTTATGTGTGGTCTTTAAGATTTCCCTCAAAGTCCATTCCTCCATGAAACATTTCCTGTCTCTTTCAAAATGAAATAATTTTTGCCTCCTCCAAAAACTTTACATTAACTCTTATTATAGGCTACCCTGCACAGCTGTCTAGAAACTAGGCTTCTCCCTCCTACTAACCAATAAACTTTCTAAGAAAACAACCTGAAAATAACATTTATCCTTATATTTACCCTAGTGTTTTGCCTAATTTCTTGCACATCTAGGTGTTCAGTAACTATCTGCTGAGTGAATTTTACTTTATAATGCATGAATCTCTTTCAAAATTAGTTCAGTTATCTGTGAAAAAAAGGTAAAAATATCTGGCAATCATTACAGGGCACAAGTTATTGTGTTATTGGAAAAGTCATGTACATTTTTGCATAGAAAATATGGTATATAATGACTTTTCCAACATAATATAATTTACATTATAGTAGAGGGAAAAATCCTTTGTGATATATATTTTTTAATTTTATTATTTATTTATTTTAGAGAGATTTTTGCTATAGGGTAGGTGTGCTCACTGGAGAGACTGAGAAAGACAAAGTGAGAAATTATCACCCAGAGGGGATGGCAATTCTGCAATCCCTTTTCTCCCATTATCCTCTCAGGATTTTGGGCATATATCCATTCACACCAAGAGTGAGTTTCAAGCCTCCAGGTTCAGGACTCAAACTGCAGTTGACAATGTGGGAGTCTAGCACCTTAACCACTATGTTACCTGCTGGCCTCCCAAAAAATCCTTTTGATAAATCAGAGAGAAATAAATATCAATAGAGTTGTATGGCTATCTAAATCATTGCAATTTCTTCATTAATGAACAGCATATAATTTGGATTTTGGAGATAACCTATAAACCATGTAGAGAATCAAATTAAAGAAAAGATTGAAGAGGGACCAGCAGGTGGCATGGTGGTTAAGGCACTGGACATGCCCACATGACTGACCACAGTTCAAGTCCTGGATCTGGTGGCTTGCTTTCTCACTTCTCTCTCTCTCTCTCTCTCTCTCTCTCTCTCTCTGACTTTCTCTGCTCAAATTAAAATAAATGGATGAATAAATAAAATTAATAAAAAAGACTGAAGAAAAAATCTGGAGAAGATAATTTTGAACAAGACTAACATTGAGTACATAGTCAATAATAACGATAGTGATTAGAGAAAATAACAATAGCTAACATTGGAGCAGTTATTGTGGGCTATGTATTGGGCTAATTCTTCATTTGTTTTTCTTCTTTATGCCTTACAACTCTAAGAGAAAGGGTTACTTGAGATTGTACTATTATTTCTCTCCTCTTACAGATAAGGAAATAGGTGTGGCAGAGACCAGCAGTTAGCGTAATGGCTATGTCGCTGGACTCCCACATAGTCAACCACGGCTCGCACCCTGGACCGGGTGTCTTAAACTCATGCCAGGCACATGTGCGTGCGTGCCCAAGATCCCAAGAGGAGAATGGAGGAGAAGGGATGGCGACGTGGCCATCCCCCTGGGGGATGATTTCTTGCTTTCTGTCTCTCTGTTTCTGTCTGGCGAGTGCTCACACCCTATAGCAAAAACCTCTCCAAAAAAAAAAAAAAAAAAAAATAGATGTGGCAAAGTTAAGTGTCTTATCCTATTTACCTTACTACTTGCCTATAACAGAGTATGTTATTTTTGGACTGTTGCTGTACCAAAGAGTTAAAAAGGATGGTTAAGAAAGTTAATCAGAGGCTAGATTATGAGGGCCACCTAATTTACATTTCTATTGAAAATCACACTAATATTTGCTTATATTTAAGTTGGTAGTATTTCCTAACCAGATAGTAGTATTTTATCACCCAGATGCAATAAAAGATATGGAAAAGCTTGAAAGAATGCTCAATGAAAATAGTTTCAGTTCCTATAGATTTGGTTTAATTATCTTTCTTAAAAATATAGCAAAATAAAAGAAAGCTTTAAACAGAATCTGGTACAAATATTGTATTTTTAATAATTCATTATTATACTAGGAAGCTGCTGATACAAATGAAAAATTAATATGTGGCTGCTTTAGCCAAAATTTAGTATGTATAAAATAAAACATTTACTTTCTTAAAAAAAAAAAAAAAAGAAAGAAAAAGAAAAGAAAACTCAATATATCTCTCATTTGCTTTTAGATCTAGAGGATGGCCAAAAACAAGCTATGGTTAGTGAACGAACAGAAACTTTTACCACAGCTCGAAACTTGTTGGCCTCTGGAGCTGATGCTATTGAAAGGATTATGTCTTCATACAAAGAGGTACTTGCTTCTTTTGTTGTTGGTTAAATTAAAATAAGATATATAAAAATTAAGCAAAATATAAGTTACCGGGTATAATTTGAACTTTGAAAAAATAATCTTTTCTCAATCAAAAATTGCTGAGAGTATAATCAAGATTAAAGGCACCAACTCCCAAGTGTATTGCTGCTAACATCTTGTGTTTTTCACACTATCAATCGTTATTTTCTTCTTCTTTTTAAATTTTAAAGAAAATTCCTTGGGCCACCCAGTGGTGTGGTGGTTAAGGTGGCTAGATCCCACGTGATCAGCTCTGCAGTTTGAGCTCCGGACCAGCTCGAAAAACACACCAGGCGTGTATTCATGAGTGCCCAAAATCCCACCAAGAGGAGAAATGAAGAAGGGATTATAACGTGGCTATCACCCCGGGGGTGAGGGGAGAGGTGCTTTCTCACTTTCTCTTTTTTTCTCTGTGTCTCTCTCTGGTGGATGCATGGGCCCTATAGTTAAATTTTTAAAAAGGAAAAAAAAAAGAAAATCACTTAGGTGTGGACTTGGGTCATAGTTGCCTAAGTTTGCATTCTTGCTCCAGTATTTACAAATGATAGGACTTCGGTCCCATCTTAGTCTCAGTTTTCTTATTTGTAAAATGGTGACTCCGACAAATGATAGCATTGATTTTGTAGGGTTGTTGTCAGTAAATGTATATAGAATACTTAGAACAACTCACATTAGGCACTCTATAAATTTTAGCTAAGGGAACCAGCAGTTAGCGTAATGGCTATGTCGCTGGACTCCCACATAGTTGACCGCGGTTTGTGTCCCGGACCCAGTGGCTTAAAAAACTCACGCCAGGCGCGTGTGCGTGCGTGCCCAAGATCCCGAGAAGAGAATGGAGGAGAAGGGATTGCGGCGTGACCATCCCCCCTGGGGGGTGATTTCTCGCTTTCTGTCTCTCTGTCTCTCTCTGTCTGTCTGGCGAGCGCACGCGCCCTACAGTGAAAATCTCTCCAAAAAAAAAAAGTTTAGCTAATAATACTATTTTCAGATCTTGCCAACTTATACCCATCCTTCATTGATGAAGGTTCTCTGACCACATATAAAACCTTCTGTGATTCAACCTTCTTCTGGTCTTCCTTGCAGAGTTTGGGATCTTCCTTCTCTGTGTTCCCCTCCCTAGGTGCTTCTGGAACTTCACCACATTGCAGCTGTCTGTCTCTTACATCAGACCCTGAGCTTCTTGAATGCAGGGTCTCTTATTCATCTTTACATTTCTAATATACATTTTTTTTTCATTTCATTTTCTTCCATACATTCAATTACATTTTATTTGTCTTACAAAATGGATATTTAAACAAGTGAACATTTCTCCCTAGTACTGTTGATAAAACTATGAAATATCTTCAACAGATAATACCACACCTCTTTGTGCCATTAATGCTTGGCCTCCCTGTCCCTACCCCAAATGTCCTTCCTCAGACCCTCCTCTTTCACACACACTACATCTGGTATTTACATCTATATACTGCATTTCTATGTCCTTTAGACAATTAGTTTCAGTCATAGAGTGCAGACACTCGGTATATATTAAGTGGGGACATATAATGCATTTTAATACTTTGAATCGTGTGTGGTTAATAAATACTTGTTGAGAAATATGGTAAGAAGGCTTGCGGGTACCACAGGGCTCAGGTTAAAATGACTTTATTCAATTTACGTTCCCATGAATTAATTACTCTTGTGGCTTTCATCTCAATATAAATTGCTGGCTGTCTACAAATCAGCCTAGAATACCACATCATTTGATAAAACTATTCATTGTCAATTTACAGTAAAAAATAGTTACAAATTTTGTGATTTGCTGACAGAACTTTTCAGTCTATAAAAACTGAGTTATTGAATTATGCTGGTTTGTTTTGTACTTTAAAACAGTAAAACCACTTGTTCAGGGTCATGTACCAAAACAACTAATTTTTTTTTTTCAGGGAGGTTTTTGCTATAGGACGCGTGCCCTCGCCAGAAAAACAGAGAGAGACAGAGAGACAGAAAGCAAGAAATCATCCCCCCCCCGCCCCCGGGGGGATGGCCACACCACTATCCCTTCTCCCCCATTCTCCTCTTGGGATCTTGGGCACGCACGCACATGCGCCCAGTGTGAGTTTAAGCCACTGAAACACAGGGTCCAGGACTCGAACTGTAGTCGACCACATGGGAGATAGTCTTTGGGGTAGTTTTTTTTAATCTAACATATTATTTAATATGTATTTTTGTGAGAGTTATAGGATGCATAAACTTGCTGGAGAGACAGAAAGAAATAAGAGAGAGAGAAGTGAGAAATCACCTCCTGCAGTGGGGTGGAGAAGGGATGACCATGCTGCATTCCTTTCTCCTCCATTCTCCTCTCAGGATTTTGGGCATGCACACACGCCCACTGTGCACATCAAGCCACCAGGTCCAGGACTTGAACCGTGGTTGGCCACATGGGCATCCAGCATCTTAACCACCTGCTGGCCCCTAAATTACTTAATATTAAAAATAAACACATCTAAAATGTAAAATTTTAGTCATCTCACATTAAAATATTAATTAGATTATCCTTGTTAGTTTTTTGTTTTTTTGTTTTTGCTCTATAGGATACATGTGCTTGCCAGAGACAGAGACAGAGAGGGAAATGAGAAAACACCTCCCAGAGGGCATGGCTACACCACAGTCTTTTCTTCATTCTCCTTTCAGGATTTTTGGCACATATGTGGCATGTTTTTCAAGCCTCTGGGTCCTGGACTAGAACTGCACAGTTGGCTATGTGGGATCCTGCCACTTTAACCTCCATGTCGTCAATGGCTCCATTTATGTTTTACGGATACCTTATACATACTTGTAGGTTGAAAGTAACTATTTCATATTTTGTTTTGACTGTGACTCCCATCACCTGTGGTTGGGTGTGGAATTTTCCTTTGTGCCATCATGTCAGTGCTCCAAAATTTTCAGTTTTGGAGTATCTCAGATTTCAGATGAGAGATGCTCTACTTATATGTAATTGGGCCGTGGGGTCCAGGACTCAGACTGCGCCTCCAACATGTGGAATCCAGCCACCTCAACCTCTGCACCATCTGCTGGCCCTTAACTAGCTTTTCTAGATAGTCCCAACTCAACAGAGAACTGCATTTTGCTTTATTTTGCCTGAATTGGCTTTGGGTCATACTCCTAAAAAGTACTATAGTGCTACGACAGCACATGGAAACACCATGCCTTCTCTGCTAACCAGAGGAAGCACGGTTCCTAGTTAACGTTAGGGTTCTAGGGCAAATTCTGCCTTATCCACAGCACTTTGTGCATAGACTGATTCTCTGTTTTTTCCAGACACTCCCTACCCACTATACCCACAATCCCTGTGTCTGGTAACTCATCTCTTCCTGCCCTTCTTAAGTTGTCATCTGCTTTAGGTTTTGGATTTTTTTTTCCTATGCACATATTTGCATATGTTCAAGTTTCTTTGGAACCTGTCATTTGCTTTGTTTACCTCTACTTAGGAATTGAAGAATTTCTTTTAGATGCCATTTTAGAATTTACCCTCTAAATAGCTAAAACAGTAAATATAGAAATGAAATACTAATGTAACTACAGACAACTCACTCAGTGGAGACACGTGATAGAGGCTAACAATACCTGCTCATTTACTGCTTAAGTTTTGAACACATTAAACACCTTATGAAAATATCGCCATTGTTGTAGTATTCCATGAATTATTGTGTAAGAAATGTTTATTAGTGCTGTGCCTTGGTTATTGTGCAAGTTTCCTAGTTTTTGTGCTTTCCTTTTTACTGAGAAAGATGGTCTGGATAGGAAATGACTTACTTTTCATAGAACTCTGACAAGCTGTTCTCTTAATAGAAAACCAGCAGGAGGTTAACCCAAATTGGACAACTGTCAAAATAGAAGGAAGGCACCATTCTTTTTTTTTCCTACAGTTTTAGTTTTTGCTATATAGCATGTGCACTCACCAGAGAGAGACAGAGAAAGAGGAAATAATAAATCACTCCCAATCCCTTCTCTTCCAGTCCCCTCAGGACTTTGTGTCCAGTGAGACCTTTAAATTGCTGGATCTGGGACTTGAACCATGCAGTATGCCATGTGGGTTCTAGCACCTGGACCTCCATGCCACCTGCTGTCCCAAGGTACTATTCTATTGAACCTTTATAGACTATTGCAGAGATTTCTCTCATTTTAGAATCTTACCTAGAAAAAAATATATAATATATATATTTTTAAATATATATGTCAGTGATATATACTGTATGTATTAGGTCATTGGGAATGTCATGCTGCATTTTTGCATAGAAAAGCATAGAAAAATACGTCACTGCTTTCCTGACGACTTAATATTTCCTTGGGCATATAATTCATGCTTGTCTTGAAAAAAAGCTAAATTGTGGGATTTTTGTACTGAAAACTAATCTTTTCACTGAACTCACTCTTAATATTGGTATTCTGTAGCACTGGTATTTTCTCTAGCCAAACACAGAAATTTTGCCAATGAATTGGCTCAGAATAATTTCTTTCATAATAAGAAAAAAAGGTACTTTTTGCTATTTAAAATCTACTTAAAATTTTTTAAGATGCCGAATAAAAAAGATCATAATTTCATTAGTTAAGCTTTTCTCAAAATTCCTAACTTTTAGGAAATGACATTTGTCATGTACACAGGGGCCAAATCAGAAATATAAATGAAGGACACTTTAAGTTTCACCAATATTCTAATGTCTTCGCATTTCATTCTGAACCCTGACTTGAATGAGTAGTTCTTAAATGTATCTTCTAGATCCGATTATGCTTACATTGATATCTTGCCGTAATGCTTTGTTGGTAAGCTTTCTACTGTCACTTGTAGTTGTAAGATACATTTCTCAGGTATAATGAAATAGGCTCTTTAACATTAAATAAAGCTCATATGAGGACACATTTATTTAAAAGTCTATCTTGCATATAGGATCTCTATTTTATATCTCTGCATTGATTTCAGATCACTGAATTAGCAGGCTATACTGCTCGAGTATACAATATGTTTTGGGTCTTTGATGAAGTAAAAAGAGGCATTTATAAGAGAACAGCAGTTACTCAAGAGCCTGAAAACCATAACAAAAATGGAGCCAACATACAGTTGCCACTCAGTGAAACACTGGAAATCAAAGGTATTAAGTCATATTTAAGTGGTTATTTTATCAACAGAGCCAAATTTTTTAGAAGATATGTTTTAATAGTTTCAAGGAACTAATATTTAGGTAACCAACATTGTTTAAACAGCTCTCCATAAAATTAATGCTGCAATTTGAGTGATGGTAACGAATATTACCCTTGAAAAAAGATGGTATATTATTTTCATTTAGGACAAACTTTCCAGAATTACTTGTGGAAACTGCAAATATGGCAGAATAAATTGTTTGCTTTTAAATTTCAACTAACACACAGAATTAGAGCTAATGTCATATTGTTCATTTTTATCTTGTTCCTAAACTTACTTGGTTATCTTATTAACAATTATATTATTCCGTGTCTTAATTCTCTTTTTTTGCAGTACTGCATATTTTTTTTTTCGTAAGATAGGTTAATTTAGGGAAATAGAATAGTTGTAAAAAGTATGGCAGGGTTATACAAGATTAAGTTTAGCTTTGAAGTCATAATGATGTTTACATTAGATTATTATAAAATGGTGTTTCTCAGAAAGATTTCACAACTATAGACATTAAAATATACAAATTTACATTAAACTGCTTCAACTATAGATATCTGTATTTATATTTGCTTCTATTATTGAATACTGTGAATTATATACCATTGAATTTACCTGTTATACTGCATTAGATCAATACTTTAAGTTAGTTAGTTAACAGTAACATGTGCAATAGCTCTTGTAACTTAAGCTATTCCTAATTTTAGGAAAAGTTATTGATGTGGATCATGGAATTATTTGCGAAAATGTTCCCATAATTACACCAGCGGGAGAAGTGGTGGCTTCCAGGCTAAACTTCAAAGTAAGATGATATTCAAGAATCTTCTGATTGTTGCCATCACACTAATACAAAACAACCCAGAATTCATGTACCTTATGTTAAATACTTGGAGGAGCATATGGAAAGGAGGGGAAATCAAGAAAGGTATGCACAGTGGCTCAATTACAGAAGCAGTTACTTCCTCAGAAAGCAAAGGGAAAAGAGAAATTTTATTTTTACTACTTTATTGTCAGGTCAAAAATCAAGATTAAAGTACATTGAGAGCCTATACAAGGTAACTTTGAGAAACAATTGGAAATTTCCTCAGACATTAGTATCTGGAAATAAATTTTAATTTTGTTTCCTTCTAGTAATTACTAAAATAGTACAAGCCTCTGCTGGCATTGTTTTCTAAACTTTAAGGGTGGAGGTCTTAGTAAGTTTAATTATGATAGTATATATTCTCAAACTTTAATTGTATTTTATATAATCACATATATAATTAGGAGAAAATAATCGTGGATTCATGGATTGGTAGTATTTAATTCTATTGACAGTAGTGTAATTTGCTATTTAATATTCTATGTCTTAATTACAAAAACTAAGGTGTAATAAACCTCTAGAGGTCCTGATTTAAAGCACTGTAAAATTCAAACATAGGGGCCAGAGGTGGCATGGTGGTTAAGACAGTGGACTCCCACATGGCCAGCTGCAGTTCCAGTCCCAGACCTGTCAACTTAAAAATCATGCAGGGGACCAGCAGTTAGCGTAATGGCTATGTTGCTGGGCTCCCATGTAGTCGACTGCCATTCAAGTCCTGAACCCGACAGCTTACACTCACGCTGGGCGTTTGTGCGTGCGTGCCCAAGATCCTGAGAGGAGAATGGAGGAGAAGGGATTGCAGCATGGCCATCCCCCCTGGGGGGTGATTTCTCGCTTTCTATCTCTCTATCTCTCTCTGTCTTTCTGGTGAGTGCACATGCCCTATAGCGAAAACCTCTCCAAAAAAAAAAAAACAAAAAAAAAAAAAAACATGCAGGGCACATATGCGTGTGTGCCCAAATTCCCAAGAGGAGACTGAAGGAGAAAGGACTTCAGTATGGCCACCTCCCCCAAGGGGTGATTTCTCATTTTCTCTCTCTCTTTCTTTATCTCTTCCTGGTGACCACACGTACTCTATCACAAAACCCTGAAAATAAAAATTCAAACATACCTTTCGGAATTCAAATACAAAATAATTTGCTAGTAAGTACTAACAGCTGTAATGAAGACAGTTGAGCCTGGCTCAGAAACATTATTAGGGTTGGTAATAGAATTACAAACATGACAATACATGTTAATGATTTTTATAGAACCTTAGTCTAGATTTAATTATTAAAGATACATAGGTAAGGTTGCTGGAGGTTGAAAGGAGAGGATGAGAAACATTGTAAGGGGAAATCCTATGTTAATAAATTTAAGAGAAATGGTATTTAGGTTAGGTCATATTTTTCCATTTATAAATCTATATAATGATTTAATTTTTAGAATCTCTAGAGTACCAGTTAGATCCTTATGACATAAATGGAATATTTAATAGGTATTAAATAGTTCAGAAATTTATAAATTATTTTTGTAGAGAGTTTTGTTTCCTGATTGTATAAAATCAATTCTTGTTGCTTCTTATTAAATAGAGCACAAGTCTTTAATTCTGTTACCTGATAACTACATTGTTGTGAGCACATCACATTCTTTCAACAGAAAAATTTAGAGCTCATTTTCTTTTATACAAAATGAACTGAAAATAGTTTTACACATTTTCTTTGAAAAATGCGTCATGACTTTTCTGACGACCCAATATATGGAGTGTGTGTGTGTGTGTGTGTGTGTATATACACATGTATATATAATGTAAGCATATTTTATATATACATACACACACTATATATGTATGTCTGTGTGTGTGTGTGTGTGTGTGTGTGTGTATGTGTATGTGTATAACATAGAAAAACAGGGACAAGCAGTTAGTGTAATGGCTATGTCCCTGTATTCCCACGTAGTCGACCGCGGTTCGAGTCCCGGACCCAGTGGCTTGAACTCATGCCAGGCACGTGTGCATACGTGCCCAAGGTCCCGAGAGGAGAATGGAGGAGAAGGGATTGCGGCGTGGCCATCCCCTCTAGGGGGTGATTTCTCGCTTTCTGTCTCTCTGTCTCTCTCTGTCTGTCTGGCGAGCGCACACGCCCTATAGCAAAAACCTCTCAAAAAAGAAAAATACATCATGACTTTTCTGACAACCCAATATATAGAGTGTAGAGTGTTTGTGTATACACACATACACATATGGTGGTAATTATATTCCTTTTGGTAATTATGTATTTCTGACTCAGACAGGGAGTTATATTTAAATTCTGAGGCCCCTGCAATACGATCAAAAGTTCTTCCTCTGCATAGAATGAAAACTAAGCTTGTAGAGAAAAAGATATTCATTCTTCTGTTGGCCTTCAGAATTATTGTTTAAATTATTGTTTGCAGAAAAATATTCAATAAGCATGAGTGTTTTCTTTTGTTTTTAAGGAGTCTTGTTGCAGTATTCTGCTTCAGCCTCCTAGCTGGGACTTCAGACATGTACCACCTTGCCTGACTGTTTTTCAGTCTTACTGTGCTACCCAGGCAGCCTGGAGCTCACAATTTCTGTCTCAGCCTCCTTTAGTCACTGGGGTTACAGGTGCAGTGTGAGAATTCTTTTTGCTTCATATACATTGTTTCATTAGCATCAGAGAATTTATGCTGAAAATATCAATAAGAATGTAGAAAAGTCTTCAATTACCACTTAAAATGTTTTCAATTTCTGAGATTTTTTTAATGCAGAATGACCTATTAAAAATGTATGAGTGCGCATTGGCATATATCTTTTTTAAAAGGCATATACTATGGCATATACCTTTTTGAAAACTCACTTGGAAATTGTTTATGCTTATAGGCAAAATTTAACTTCCTTAATCCTTTCTCTAATAAATTATAACAAAGCACAATATTCCTCACAGGATTTTCTTGGGACACTTGCATTGTAATGTTCTTTCATCTCTGAGTTTTCAATATGATGTATTCTGTATCATCGATACTTGGATATCTGTATCCATTCTAAGAAAGGCTACATCTGCAGCCAGCCAATAGATTTTCTGCTCTTATACTTTCTTGTTATATTCATTTCTTTTATATAACTGATTATAATACATCAAGTTTTTTTTAGAAATAAATCAAAATTGTAAATGGTATTCCTATTCCTTGTTTTTCACAGTACCCTTTTATTTTTTTAAATTATCTACTTTATTTTATTTTATTTTATTATTTATTTATTTTTAATTTTGGAGAGATTTTCGCTATAGGGTGCGTGCGCTTGCCAGACAGACAGAGAGAGACAGAAAGACAGAAAGCGAGAAATCACCCCCCAGGGGGGATGGTCACGCCACAATCCCTTCTCCTCCATTCTCCTCTCGGGATCTTGGGCACGTAAGCACACGTGCCCGGCGTGAGTTTTAAGCCACCAGGTCCGGGACGTGAACCGCGGTCGACTATGTGGGAGTCCAGCAACATAGCCATTACGCTAACTGCTGGTTCCCTTATTTTTTTTTTTTTTAATTTCACAAGAGAGACAGAGAGACAAAGGGAAAATGAAAAAACAAGCCATCAGGTCCAGAACTCGAACCATAGTCAGCCATGTGGGAATCCAGCACCCTTAACCACCACACCACCTGCCAACCTCCATAATACCCTTTAAGTACCCTAATAAGATTTCTACATCATATTGAGTAAAATAATAGCTCATGAAATTTATCTGTTTAAATTTAAATTATAAATAAGATAGAAGATAGAAACATCCAACAGATAATGGATAAATAAATTTTGTTTTCTTGATGAATACCATATATATATATTTATATATGTATACCGTATATTCATATTGTGATATACAATATATATATACATACATTTTAATTCATCCCTAGACATAGACTAAATTATAATCCTTTTATTTTCCTCTCTCTTAATTTGGTAAATATATTTTCTCCATCTGTGAATAGAGCAGAATTAGAATCATGTTCTCTCCGATCGTGGGCTTTAGAGATATCTGTAGCATTTCAGACTGCTGAAGTACAAAAGTAAGCAAACCAGCTGGCTTTTTGGATAACTGCTTTGTAGCTAATAACTCCAATTGAATTTCTATTGTATGTGAATTCAACATGAATTTATGAAAATATTGATATAAATGGAAAAAATGTAATATATTTGAATTTAAGTTTTTACAGTTAGTCTTATTTCTCATATAGTTATATTTCTCCATATGTGTGTAGATCTGATAATAAAACCTCAATTACAATGTTGGGAAGGCAGTGCTCATTCCAAAAAGAAAAAGAAAATCCATTTTCTTTAGAATGGAATTACTTTATGCTGCTTTTTACTTCAAAGAATAGTTAAAAAACAAACTTGGTATTCTTAATCCTGAGTAATTTTTCTTTGATTTTATACCTATCCTAGGTTATCATGTGATCATGTGTTTGAAAGGTTTTTTTAAAAGGTCACTTTTAAATCCTGCCTAATTAAGTCATTTTTAAATATTGCAATTTGTGATTTTCATTTCTTACTATAGGTAAAAGAAGGAATGCATCTTTTGATAACTGGTCCCAATGGTTGTGGGAAAAGTTCTCTCTTCAGAATTTTAAGTGGGCTTTGGCCTGTATATGAAGGAGTCCTCTATAAGCCACCTCCCCAACATATGTTCTATATTCCACAAAGGTAGGTTATTTTCTTAAATATATCACAATAAACAATTTCCTTCTGCCCTTGAATTGTCTTGATGCCTCCAGCTCTTCAGTTTATGTATCTTTAAGGGCATTTTCAATGAGGAAGGCCATTAATAAATAAAAATTCAGTAATCTCAAAAAGTTTTATTATTGCTGTGATTATAATAGTTTCTAGGACAATGCCACATCTTTCTATTTTCATGTCTGCCTAGATGTAATGTACACTTGAAACTGCATATGATAGTCTCAAATAACAGACTATTCCAAAGAATAATTAGATTGCCTTAGATTTTTTTTGAGAATTATTTTATTATTATTACTTTAAAATTTGAACAGAGACAGATAGAAAGAAAGAGAGGGAGAGTGAGAAAGCAAGCTGCCAGGTCTGGGACTCAAACCATGGTCATTCATGTGGGAGTCTGGCACCATAACCACCACGCCACCTGCTGGCTCTAGATTGCCTTAGATATTACATAATCACTTCTCTCAGAAAAAGTCATACTTGGGATAGATCTTTCCATCAAGCTGCATATATTCATATATTCTAAAATTGTTCATGTATGTTTAAAAGCCTCTATAGTCTTCATTATAATTTTGCTATATGAATAATTAATGATTTATAGCTATCTTAATTAAACTGAATTTACTCTAAGAATAAGTATAATGTAAGCATAGAAAAAGAATCTTGCAGGCTAGTTCTGTGGCCTGGTGGATAAATGAAATGGGTCCCACATAGCCAACCGCATGGTTTGAATCCTGTCCCTAGTAGCTTGGAAGACATGCCAGATACATGTATATGAATACCTAAAATCCCAGCAGGATGGAGCAGTGGAGGAAAAGGGCTTGCAGTGTAACCATGCCCTACAGGGGGGTAGTGCTTGACTCCCCTCCACTCAATCAGTCTCTCACAAGTACACATGCCTCTAGAAAATTTTAAAAAAAGAAAAGAAAAAAGAGAGAAAGAAAGAAAGAAAAAGAACATTGTTTCTTCTGAAATCTTTAGGCATCTTTCCTCATCACAATTTAGAAATGCATAAACACAGTTATACGCTGGAGAATTTTAAATACTCATTGCAAATGAGAGAAAAATGAGGTTGGAAAAGACCCTCATGCTCATTTGCTCTAGTGATTTTCCATCTGTTATCACCCTTAAGTGTGGATTAGGTAAACGTCACATAGCATAATCCCGCTGTGTCAGAGGGCTGTTCTGGGGAACCATTAGAGCATTCAGGCTGGAAGTATAGTACCTGGATGAATATAAAATTTACATCAAGCAAGGTACGATTTATCGCATATCTCATTAGCCACTTTTCTTTGTTGGAAAGTATTTAGACCGTCCTGTCCACTGGTCTAATTTTTAGACCATAGGTAGTACTCAGGCAGATGATATTTTGTTGATATCTTTTTTCTTTAAAGTAAGACCTATGGTAGTACTGTAGTAGGAAGCCCTGGAGTATAGATGGGTGAAGAACTACATGAGCTGAAAATGTCGTTTGCTAACAGTGTCACAGAGATTCATGTTTGACACAAAATAGATAACATATTGTGACACCAGAGTCATTGTCTCTATCTACGCTGTAAAGTCCTTTGGGATACCTTCTGCTTCTGAAGACTAAATTATACCACCAAAAGATTAAGTTTCAGGCCCAACCATGGTGGGGCAGGAGGGAAGTCACTGCTGTATAATGACTGAGGCCACATAGGAGGCCCAGGTTCAGTTCTCAGCTCAGCCTAAAATAGGCCAAACAGGCCAGGCATAGTGGCATGCACCTAAGGTCCTAGCTAACTGAGAGGCTTGGGTAGGAAATCATGACAGCAAGACCCTGTCAGAAATACCTCTCCTCCCTGCACCTTCTATTTATGCAAGCTCTCTCTCTCAAAAAAAATTGAGTTTCAAATGTTAATGTGTTTAATAAACTGATTTTAAGTTATATTTGGGTTATATAGCATAGAATCATGAGGAATATATTTTGTTACAGAATTCTAGTCTTTTAATGCACAAAAAGTACATAAATTATATATTTTTAGCTATTTTAGATTTCATATATAATATGAAAGTTATAATTCTTGAATCTAGCTTGACCTGACAAAATAAGACATTTTCTGGGCATGAGAAAATAAATAAATTCCACACTTTGTCCATAGAGAGACCTAATTATGTTATTTTGCAACAAACATAATCACTAGAAAACTTTTTCTTAGTTATGAAATTCATGTTGCTTAAGCAAAAAAAGAAAAAAAATCAACTAAAGCCTAGTTAGGAAGAAAAACAAGAATGTGAAGTCTAGTTTTAGGGCTAAACATTTTTTTTTACTATTAAGGTAATTTTTCCTTGATTATATAGCTTCTAGAAACATGAAAATGTACATATGTTTGAAAGTTGTTGGTTTTTGTTTTTGTTTTTGTTTTTTTTGTAGATGTTTTTGCTATAGGGCACGTGCACTCCGCAGAAAGACAGAGAGAGACAGAGAGACAAAAAGCGAGAAATCACGCCCCAGGAGGAATGGCCACACCACAATTCTTTCCTCCTCCATTCTCCTCTTGGGATCTTAGCTACGCACACACACGTGCCCAGCATAAGTTTAAGCCACCGGGTCCAGGACTCAAACCGCAGTCCACTACATAGGAGCCCAGTGACATAGCCATTACACCAACTGCTGGTCCCCATATATTTGAAAGTTTTATAGAACCATTTTTCTTACAAAAAGTAAAGAATTTATTTAAATGTATATGTAAACTAAAAGGATCTAAATGTAATATTCATTTCATTTTTAATCTTTTTGTATGGAATATACTATCATTTTTCAATACATGAATATAATGTGTAATAATGAAATCAGAGCAATGAACATATCCACCGTCTTAATCATTTATCATGACTTTGTTCTAAAAATTGCTGACTTTTTCAAATTAATTTAAAAATACTTGTGCAGGGATCAGCCGATAGCATAATGGCTATGTCGCTGGAGTCCCATGTAGTCGACTGTGGTTCGAGTCCTGGACCCAGTGGCTTAAACTCACACCGGGCACGTGTGCGTGCGTGCCCAAGATCACGAGAGGAGAATGGAAGAAAAGGGATTGCGGCATGGCCATCCCCCCTTGGGGGGTGATTTCTCGTTTTCTGTCTCTGTCTCTCTCTGTCTTTCTGATGAGTGCATGTACCCTATAGCAAAAACCTCTCCAAAAAGAAAAAAGAAAAAACTTGTTCATTCTTACGATTTAAAAGAAAGCTGCTATAGAGTATGTTGCAAAATACTTGTCAGGAGATAATCTTAAACATTTCTTCTTAGGATATTCTCATTTATGAATATTATAATTTATTGCATCAATTTATTATAATAAAATATAGGTTAACTACTAATTTGACAGAAGATGAGAATTCTGTATAGAATTGAGACTTATGTACAAATATTACAAGTCATAAAGAGACTTTTATAAACCCCATACTTACATAATTACTTTTTACATAATTACTTATTTAATTTATTTATATATTTATTATTTTAATTTTTGCTCTAGGACATGTACACTCACCAGACATAGAAAGAGAGAAAGCAAGCTGCCAGGTCCAGGACTTGAACCGTAGTCAGCCATGTGGGAATCCAGTGCCTTAACTATCATGCCACCGACTGGCCGTCATATTTGCTTTTTGTGACTGAAAGACTTCTTGGTGGAAGACAGATATCTATGGTTACTTTCTTGGGGAAGAATAGAGTAGGTTTTGTTTAAAGAGAGTTTCTAATAGTGTCATGTAGTGTACAGAAGAAGCACACTACTAAGGAAAAAAAGCTAGAAGGTAATTAACCACATTAGGCTACATATTCTTTAACCAGATCTCTCATAAAGAGTGCTGCTGTGGCTCAATTTGTAATGGGAAACTTGAATTCCTAAGAAATTATGAAATCACTTCAATGTTTTTCAAGCCAATGTCTTCTAATGCTTTAGCAATATTAATAATGAGAACCAGAGAAGAGAAAATCTGGGACTTAGTTCAAGAGTATAAATGAAGAATTGTGCTAGAAAAATTAGTTTAACAACAGTGTGCCTTCATTTCATCATAATTAATGACAAGATCTGATAAGTACCAGAACATTTGAAAAGTTTTAGGAACAAAATATTTCATCTAAGATGTGCATTAACTTCCCTAAATCTATGGGATGATGCATGGTGAAATGCTTAGTTTTTCTCAGGTAGTACTTTGTAAAAATACTTTGGCAATTTTATGGTATTAGAGCCTGAATTTCCTGAGCATTGTGACGGTATTCCTTAAACCGACAAGTGAAACTCAGTGCTCTCTGCTAAATCAGCCAGCCTACCCCTCAGGAAAGGTCTTCCGTGTGGGTAAAGATCCTGAATTTTTGGTGCATGTTTTTTTCTACCTTACCAAGTCCCTTAAGGATAGATTTGTGATTTTCTGCTCTTATTTCACTAGTCTACTAGAAAGACAGATCAAGGGAGAGAGGGGCAGGAAATACATGTTTTTACTGAAGAAATATAGTAAAATCTTGCATTCCTTTTTAGTATACTTTTTTTTTTTTAAATTCTCCAGGGGATCATTTGTGAACCTGACATTGTATATCCCCAAAGCAACAGTCTCTAGTGTGACACCAACCCACCATGTAATTCTAGTCCCAATGCTTCTGCTTTTACTACCCTTCCTTGGCAGAAGTATCTTGGGACCAAATTTTAACCATGATGTTTTACTGTTCAAAAAATACCAAGGCCAAAAATATCTGATAGACTTCACATACTTATGTATGAAAAGGTAACTTGTACAACTTGCTGTTTATACATCACTTTGGAGTCTAGAAAGGTAAAATAAGAGTTATATTGTAAGAATAGAATTAAATTTGACCATAGTTTTTTTTTAAGTTTATTTCCTTGTTCCTTCCATGAGTGAGAAAGACAGACAGCATCCCCAACAGGATTTTCACACCATGATCCATCCTGAGCCACAGCTAACCGAGAATCATGGGCACACATGAATGCCTG